TTGCTTTTTATATTCGAAACGCTTATAATTAATAGAATTTCCGGGAAACGTAAAGAGCAAAACTTGCTAACAATTGTTATTATACTTCAAATATAGGTATATTTATTTATTTTATTTATTTATTTTTTTTATAAAAATTTTTAATATTCAAATGTTAATGTTCTCAGTGTTCTCAAAAACATTTAAAAAAGTTCGAGAACATTGCATTTAAAAATTATGGTCTCTTTTGAGAACCAACTAAGAACATAAAATTTATAATTTATGTTCTCATATGATATTATAAAAAATATATAAATTTTCTCTTTTTTTTTTTTTTTTTATTAGTAAGAACATTAAAATATTTATGAGAACATAAAATTATCAATTTATGTTCTTGAAGAACAAAAAAAATTATTCAGAAATTTAACACCGGATTCCGACCCACCCACCTACTGCGGTTTAGTATTATCCATGATCACGGGGACAAGCGCGCATTTATCGAATTTATTATATAAATTAGCTATACGGCATAAATTAGATTTACAACATTTATGCCATTAACTTGTAATAATAAATCTTTTATATACATAAAAGCTTGTGAAAACCCTTGATAAATAAATTTCATGCTGCTTACAATTATCGTTCCCAATAAAGTACACATCATATAACCTTTAAGTTCTTAAATAAGTCCATCTTAACAAATACAAAAATCCAGATCTATCACTAAGTGGCATAGTGAAAGGTCGTTCACATAATTATCTTGCTCACGTGACTTCACCCGCTCGGTTTAGGTCTAACGTACAGTACAGTGGTAAATCCGTGGTATTAAAATAAAGCATAGATTACATCACTCAAGTGCTCCAGCCCATTCGACCAATGTTCTCAAATGACTTATAAATGACTAAATGACCAAATAACCAAATTTTTTTCACTAAATAAGTTATCTATTAATATTGTATATTGCTTATTATTAGTTAGCATAATAAACTTTATAACTAAATTTAATCAAATTAATATTTGAGCCTTCCAAGTTTAAATGACTTCTATATGACTATTAAAATGACTCAAAAAATTCATTTCAAAATGCGAATGTCCCAATCATTTGAGAACACTGATTGACATACAGAATTGGTCAATATAATGTTGGAATATGTTATCGAAATGGTATAGGTGTTACTGAAGATGTAGAGAAAGCATTTGAATGGTTTTTGAAATCTGCTGAAGGTGGGCATATTAGTGGACAATTGAACGTCGGATTTTTATATCTCAATGGTGTAGGCGTTTTAAAGGATGAGAATAAGGCATTTGAGTGGTATTTGGATCTGCTAAAGGTGGAGATCCTGAAGCACAATTTTTTGTTGGAATTTGTTATCGAAATGGGACTTGAACCACTCCAAATCAAGAAAAAGCAATTGAATGGTTTCAAGCGTTTAAAAGTAATAAACGCCAACAAAATGTTTATGAATGAAAATCCCAACATTGAAGACTTTCTTAAAAAAAGTTTAGAAGAAAATGAGTATTCATTATCATGGATTCCATTCAGTGAATAAAAAGGTCGGGAAAGGTAGATTTGGGACCGTATATTTGGCTAATTGGAGAGAAGGGCATAGGACGAGATGTTGCACTTAAATTACTTGATGGATCACAAAATAATAGCGAGGATCTTTTGAAAGAGGTAGATATTTACTTAATATTTTTGCTCGTATTTAAACTATTTTATTAATAATTTTTTTGCATTGCAGCTAAAAGTGTATTATGATATCGGATGTAAAAACCCTACATTTTTACGTTGTTATGGAGTATCAAAAGATGAAAATGCCACAGACGATTACATATTAATCATGCAAAATGCTGAAAAGGGTTCTTTGCACCAAAATATTGAACGAATTGTACGAATGGAATGGAAAGAAAAATTAACTTTATTATCCTATATAGCACAAGATCTTAAACTAATTCATTCTCAACATGACTCATCGGGATTTGCATAGCGGGAACATATTGCAGGATACTGCATATATTGCAGACTTGGGTCTTTCAACAATACAGCAATAGCTGACGTTTTATATAATAAAGCAACAGACAAAGTCCCCGGTATCTGGCGTTATTTAGCTCCTGAAGTATTATCACGCAGAGATAAATACACACAAGCTGACATATATAGTTTTGGTGTTATCATGGCTGAAGTTTCAACTGGAAACCCTCCTTATCATGGATACGATATCACTATTATTCGTGAAATATATGATGGTAGTTTCCGACCAGAATTTGCAAAAAGCTGTATGGATAAAGATAAAGTTAAACGTCCAAGTGCAGATAAAATATATGAAACACTAAGAAATTGGATAGAAAACATAAAAATTTTTGAAGATTCTGAAAAAATTAAAATTGAATCTTTAACAATGCGGCAAGCAGGTAGAGTAACAGAAGATGATAACATGTTTAGTTAATACGTCTATTGTAATATGTATATTTTCTAGAGGAATTATACAAACGAGTTGTTCAAACTTTGTGTGCTTATGCTTAGCTTAGGTAAGAATTATAAATTTGTATATTATGATTGTATATGGATATTTACGAGCTGTATTTGGGCAATATTCATTTTTTTTTGAGAAAAGATTACGAATAGGGATGTCATCCAGATTAGAGGTGCGGTAGAAACTCAAAGCATCGGAACATGCCGTGACGTAACTGAGTTATAACTTATTTCAACTTTTTGT